TAGGCAAAACGATAAGTTAAGCCCCTGAACTAACTACAGAATCGCTATTAAGCCCCTAAACTTTAATTGGTGCAGTTAAGCCCTTGAACTCTAGGATCAAATCAATTAAGCCCTTCTTCTTAAGCAATTTATTTTAAAAATTAAAGTCTAGGGCCTTAATAGTGTAAGAAGGAGGGCTTAATTGCTTTGATCTTAGAGTTCAAGGGCTTAACTGCATCAATTAAAGTCTAGGGGCTTAATAGCGATTCTGGAATTAGTTCAGGGGCTTAACTTATGGTTTTGCCAAAATTTTAAATTTGAAGTTTTTGAGTTTTTTCTATTTAAAATCTTTTTAAGGTTAAAAAATTTTTTAAAATATAAATTTTTTTTATAAAAAATTTAAACTTATGAAATATAAATAATATAAAAAAATGTTAAAATTTCTTTTTGATTCCTAAACTATTATACAGACCCCTGATTTGGTCTCTGAACTAAAAAAATCCCTGATTTGATCTCTACTGTTTATCATTTTTATCTTGATTTGGTCCTTTCGTTAAAAATCCAGTGACGTGTACTGTTAACTAACGGAAACACGATGACATGTCATATAATAATCCACGTGGAAGATAATATAGTCAAAAAATAATGATGTGGAAAAAATAATAATATAAAAAAATATTATAAAAAAATAAAATTTTAAATTTTTTTTTCTTTTTCCTTTCTCCTTCTCCTTTCCCTTTCCCTTCCTCCTTCCCCTTTCCCTTTCCCTTCTCTTTCCCCATGAAACCCAGCAGGCTTGGGTTCCTTCAAACCCACCCAGGCGCTGGGTTCCTTGCGAACCCAGCATGCTTGCTCGGGTTGGGTTCCAAGGAACCCAGGCGCTAGGTTCCGCCGTGGGTTCCTCCGCCGTGGGTTCCTTGGAACCCAGGCGCTGGGTTCGAAGGAACCCAAGCACTGGGTTCCCTCCAACCCACGCCTGGGTCGAACCTAGGGGTAAAAAATGTATTTTTTTTTTCTATGGGTTTGGTGTTTGATGATGATGAAGAAAGCAAGGCAAGGAAGAGGAAGGAAAAAAAAAAGGGCGTTGTTGGGTTCAATTCAACCCAGGTGCTGGTTTTGTT